GCTCCTGACCAGCCAGGTAAGAGACCTTCCTGTAAATGTCACAATCACAATTTGTTGACACGTTTGCACTCTCAGTGTCTCCCAGTATTAAAGTTTTGATATTTAAGTAAAGTAAATCCATCAGAACTCTGTTCGCAAAGACATTTCAACCTTGAAATGAGCTGTAATATATGCAAGCATGTGTCCATCTATTTAGGTTAGACATTCTTCATTTATTCGGTCTCACTTGTGTTAATAATTGAGAGGTGAAATATTCAACAGGGAGCATGTTTAAAGTCATACACTGAGTTTTGTTCTCTTGCCCTCCTGGTTGTGAGAATGCATACATTACAGTTATTCTATTAGAAGGCGCTTTCAATCTTTACAAGCTTTCAGAAGAGCCTAGAACATCTGAATTTGTGTGACTTCATTTTATAATGCTATGCTATGCTATAAGTCCAGGGTTCACTTCATGGGTAGGATGATTACAATTTGGTACCTGATATAACAAACAAACAAAAAACTTCTCTACACAAAGCATTTCAGACAGGAACAAGCAAGAGCATTTCTCTAAATTCTTGACCCAACAATGCTAGTAATGTAGCAACATTAAGATACTCAATTGAAATGTGGTGTCTGAAACACCTTTAGAAGTCTAGTATCATTGTTAACTCAAACTAAAACTAGAAAAATAATATCATTTGATCATGTTATCATTTTATTTCAACTAGTCGCCAAGGCTAAATTTCTCATTTTCAGTTAGGGTCACTTGAAGTAAAATAACTAAAACTGAAATAAAAATACATTTTATAGATATATTTAAGACAAAAGAAGAACAAAACTACTAAAAGTAAAATAATATAAAAATAAAAACTAATTAAAATATTAATAAATAGTCAAAATCTAATCTAAAATCTGAAAAATATAGGATTTAAAACAGTGGGGCAAATTCACTAAACCGTTTCAGATATGCTCTAAACCTGCATATCATTCACTAAGCAACAGCAAAATACTGCAGCGCTTTAAAAACTGCACTGTAAAAATTGTGCAAAAATATTAATATAATTCATATAAGGTACAAAAACAAGACAGTCATCATAGGCAAGTAAACAAGGCCAATAGCAAGTGAACTACTACTTAGTAAATTCCCTCCAGTTTCTTTGCTCTCCCTTACCATATAGGAGACCTTGAGGATTGCAGTGCATGCAGGGAATCACGTTCCACTGTAATTCCACTCATGACTGATGGCCATAATGGTGCTCTATATTCTGATCTGAGGTATAGCAGGTTGTGGAGATTAAACATGATTACTGCTGTGCTAAATCACTCATTAATATATATAGGCCAGGGTGCCAAGTAACGTACCATGTGGCGGCTCCTTAAACTATGTCTTCTTGAATCAAGCACTGAAGTCAGCAGGGCAGGTGGAGCGTTTTGATGATGATGCCACACTGATGCTTTACAATCCATTACCAATTTAAATGGGCTTTCAGCTGTAAAAAATGTTCAGGATTCAATACAAATAAAGCAAAAGCTCAGCATCTGTGACATTATGTTGATTACTAATGAAAGTAATTTTTACTTTTTCAATTCAGTTTTTTTCCTTGACATTAAAATGCACACAGTTTTAAAAGCCAGAATACTGCAGGAACTAAAAAAGGATGATTCAGACAACTTTACAGCTCAAATGATATAATATAATATAATATTATATAATATAATAAACAACCAATATGAGCCTCATATTTCTTTTTTAAGTTACTTTTTAATATAAAAATATATTTTTTAATAAAAAATTTTAATTATTTTTTAGTGAAAATTTCGATATCACTAATATATTTATTGCAATGAGTATATGCTCATTTACTGCATTTACAAGCAGTGCATTTCTCTTACAAAGCAGGTTGATTTTCCAATCGGATATGCTATTTAGCAGGTGTTCAGTTTTGTCGACTGTGAATACGTTTTTTTCACTTTGTTTGTGTAATCAAATCAATATGCCACCACCTCACCTATCCCACCATTTCTGCCTCACACCAGGTGTGTGTAGCATCGCTTTTCGAACCTAATGGTGCTGAAGCTATAACTATGAAAATGGCAAGCCCAGCCTCAGGAGATAAATCATTAAATACTCTGTTATTGTGAAACACAATCACTTTCGAGAGCACATGGCGTGGCGGTAGAGGCTCAGCTGAAGGCCGGAGCTCAATTCTTTCAGATCTATTTTTGAATAGCTATTGAATGAACACCTGCTAAATATTTCATAAGAGAAAAGAGACCAGGTCATGGTAAGGAAGACCAAAAAGGGGACAATTTATTGAACTTATGGAGAGAGAGATCGATACATGAAACCATAACAGGAAAACGCAGTGAGTCCTGTCCTTGAAGGGTTGGACAGGGGCACGAATGGGGGAAATTATTCGATCAGATCTTGTGTATCCCGTTTCTGCTGAACTGGAAATGGCCAAAGGTTGAAATGCTGCAATAACATCCATTATGTACAGTATGTAAGCCCAAAGGGCACCAATGGCATCCGTAGGCATCTATACTGCTTTTGACAGAACGGTTTAGATATCTGACTCTTTATGCTCTGTACACAATTACAGTTTCTGCAGCACCAGATGTGATACCCGATGTGCCCACCACAGCAACCGACACCGTGACTGCAAAAACTGACTTTGTTACAAGCAATCCACTCTCTGTTCTTCCTGAGGTTACCGATTCATTTGCCTCATCCTCTGATGGCACTGCTACAACACTTAATATGGACACCCAAGCAATATCTTCTGCAGCCATGGCAACAACACCTTCTGCAACCATGGCAACTTCTGAAGCAACATCTTCAGCATCAGCTAGCACAATCCAACTGCCAACCTCTATTGCTGTTGATGCAGTTTCACTGGTTTCTGATAGATCTCCTGTGGAAGCAGGTGCAACGGTTACAGGAAATACTGCGGTAACCTTAGTTACAAGCACAGTTGTGTCCTCAACTGATGCTGCATTTAAAACAGTTGATGCACTCCCTCCAGACATTGATTTGATTGTCCCAGCATCTGATGTTCCTCTAACTCCTGCATCTGATGGTGATGCACCTGCAACTGATGCCATCGCAGCTGTAACAGATGCTCCAGCAATAGTTACAGTTTCTCCTGAGATTGCTTCCATTGCCCCAGCAACCTCAGACTCGGATGCTCCTGCGACTACTACTGTGGCTCCTGAAGGTCCAGGTGATGCAGAAGCAACCAATGTGTCTGATGAAATCAAACCAGCTCCAGAAGGTCCAGGTGATGCAGAAGCAACCAATGTGTCTGATGAAATCGAACCAGCTCCAAAAGGTCAAGGTGATGGTGCTCAAATTGTCATAGCAGGTGCAGAAACAGTCACTGATGCTGCTCCTCAACCTAATGCTGAGACTGACAGTAAACCTCCATTTGAAGTAGGAGAGAAGAGTGAAGTTCCTCTTGTTGAGACCGAGCAGGAAAAAACAGCAACAAATCTGGAGAAGAAAGATAACGATTCTCCTGACAGTAAACCTCCGTCTGAAGTAGGAGAAAACAGTGAAGTTCCTCTAGCTGCGTCCGAGGAAAAAACAGCAACAAACCTGGAGAAGAGAGATAAAAACGCAGAAGCCCCAGGTACCCACAGCAAATCTGACATCAGAATTTTCTGACAAGTATAATCCCTGTTAAAGTGCAAATTACACAATGATACACTTTTAAAGGAGCTTCAAATGTTAATTTTGGAGGTGTAATCTGTTGAAGTTTGTGTCACGCAACCCAAATTGCCTTCAGAACAGTAAGCCAGAGGCCTGCCTCTCTTAAAGGAATAGTAAATGAAAATTCTGTCATCATTTACTCCCCCTTATGTCATTCCAAAACTGTATGACTTACTTTCTTCTGTGGAACACAAAAGGTGTTGTTCGGCAAAATGACAGCCTCAGTCCTCATTCACTTTCATTATATGGGGGAAAAAAGTTTTTTTTTTTGTTATTTTTTTTGGAATATTCTATATAAATAAAAGGTTCCTTTTGATTCCTTTCCCACAGAGGAAAGGAAGTCATATGGGATTGGAATGACAAAAGGGTGAGTAAATAATGATAGATTTGTCATTTTGAGTGAATTATCCCTTTAAAGACTTTTAAAACAAAACACTGAAGTTTTATACAGTTTATCAAAAATAGTTTGAATACACAATACGGATTCGGAAAGAAAGAACTGATTAAAAAAATTAATTAGGACCTCCTTTGGTTCAAGCCTTAATTACATTCTCTTGCAATTACACCGTGTTAATGAACAGATCTTTTGTACATTCCATGAAAAAATGTTTGAAACAATATCCTTAAATATTCAACCACTATGTCAGCATAAAACAAATCATGTATCACATCTGAACAATGAATAAAATGAACAGGAAAATAAAGCGATGTGACGTGTTCTTCTTCAAACACTCATGATCTCTCTGGTGTAAACAGTATCTGGTGACATTAAGAAGAATAACGAGGCTGGGAAAACCGGAGAGAGCAGGGAAGCCAAAGAGGAAAAGAAAGAGAAGGAAAAAAAGAAAGAAAAAGATTATGAAAAGAAAGACTATGAGAAAAAAGGTATACAGCATTTGTAGTTGAGTGTGTGTACCGTGCATAGCTACACTATAGAAATGACACAAACAGATATTGCACTCATCTGACAACGTTTAAATGACTGCGGTCTGAAAATGCATTTCTGCTTGACTGCATTGTATCTTCCAGTAATGCTGCTGTGGATGAGATGGAGTATCTATTAGTGAAGAACATTTACAGCTTGTAGTGTATTGATTGGTTTAGCTGCCATTAGATCCACAAGAAAGAAACTCTAAACCCTAGTTACTTCTAGTTTTAGGCTGTTTTGCTTACAGTATCAGTTTTCCTAAATAACAGTAGCATCATTCCAATGTATCTAGTTTCACATTTTCGTCCCTTACAGTGAATTTTTCCACATTGTTGAGTGATTTGTCCCAATAGTGCAGTCGTGTTAGCCAACAAATATCCAACAAAGATAATAACGTTGCTTTTATTCTGAAGTTGTTGAGAGGATTTTGATCCCTGGGGGGCCAAAAACGCAGTTGTCAAAAATAGCGTACATCAGATTTCAAGGTAAGGCGATGCTTTAAATCAAGATAGCAAAAAGGCATTATTTACAGGGTTTCAATGACATTTTATATGAATTATGTATTTATATGCATTAGCGCTCCTGTGGCAATGCTTATCAAAGGACAATTCAGTTTTGATTTCCATTTTTCTGAATATGGACAGACACTAATATGGAAACTGTGGAAAAATTGCTTCTTAAATGTTATTCATTTACGCTCTTCCATGTCGCCCTTTCTTGTCTCTCTCTTTTCTTTGTGCTCGCATGTTTTTTTTGCTTTGTCTCATAAGGTAAGCCGCTCATGATGTATTGTGTTTGCTAGAAAACAGAAGGATCTCCCCCAGGCTGTATAATCAAAAGCGTCCTCTTCTAGAAACTAGCTACTTTGCATTTTCACTCGTTGAGTGTGTTAGACAGCTGTCTGCTGAAGATGCAAGATCGTTTGTGAAACATCGCTCCATCCCTTCACCAATCTGGGGAGTAATTGAGCATTTATATTTAATTAGCTACTATTACCCCCCATCCCACTGCTTAGCTGACTGTGACACAGCAGGACCCCACGTCGCCAGCATCTTTAAAACATCATATCAATTATTCAAAGCCCCAAGTGTCCAAACAGCAAAGAATTGAAAAGATCAGCTTCTCAAACACAACTTTAAACAGCAGCTCATTATCAGTGTTATATTAATGTCCATTTAAACTATGTTAATTAAGGCCTACAGGTGGATTTATTCACTCATACTAATGACTTTCTACTGTTTAGTCAGTCTGTTTGGAGATGTCTAAATTACTGTTATGTAAAAGCATCCCAGAAATCTTTAAAATGTATTCTTCTGAGAAACAAAAAAAAAAAATTGAAGCACTAGAAAATTCACTTCATATGTTGAATATTCAGCCTTATTAACAAGCCAAATGGAATAATTGGTGTGTGCAGGCCTAATAAGAACACTTTGTCTACAGATAAAACATTCTATGGAATAATATAATATTTGTGCACTGCATAAATAAAACAATGTATAACAGTAATAGGGAACAAACGTTAAACTAGGTTCTAGTTAAACTATAGTTAATAGCCCCAGACAAGAAGTATTATTACTTGGTTAACATATGTGTCTTAAACTTTGAAATAAATTCATTTAAATAAAATTATTTAGAATAAACAAAATAATGTCAACACTTTATTACAGCCCTGTTCCACGTGTACTTACTATGCACTTATTATTATAAATAACTAGGTGGTAACCCTGAACCTAACCTTAACCCATGTAGGTATATTATACAACCGTACTTTCTTTGGTAAGTACACTGTATGTACACATAATGTAAAATAGATGGTAACCCAAATAATTATAGTTTTACAGCAAATAGTGCATAAATTAAAATGAAAAATAAGAGACCATAAGGAAAGCAATCTAGGCTATACAGTGATCCACAGTTGACCCTTCGCTAAGCATTGGTGGTTTACTGTTGCTGACTCAGACTAGCTTTACAGTACATCCCATAGGAATGAACTGGAGATTTCCATGAGCAGTGTAATTTTCATTAAAAAGTGCTCATGAAGTGGTAAACATTATTGGATATTATTCCTATGTGGGCTGGAATGAATCATGACACTGGCTGCAAAACATTTTTATTTCCCAAGTAGTTGTTAAACGATACAGTAACATAATGAAAAACTGCAAAGAGTATCAATCAAAACAGAGGCAAATGCGTGTTAAAGTCAAAAATAAAAAAATAAATAAAATAAAAAAAGGAAAGCCTTTTTTGATAGTGATAACAAGTGATAACATTGGTGTTTCTAGAGTTTGTACAATATACCAATATACTATAAAACTGTCAACATTTTAGTTAGTGTATAACAACATGTCAATTACATAACATTAATTTACTTTCAAGCAACTGTATCATGCATGTTTATTTGGGAATGAAGGTGACAGCCTGTACTTCTGTAAAATTCTGTATCTGTAAAATAGTTTTTTTAAATGATCCCAGAAATTCTCCATAAACTTACATTAGATAAAAGCAATAACTCATCTGATGACATAGTGGAGAGCAACAGTTGTTAAGGTAGAATTTGTCAGTAAGGCTGGACTGGAAATCAACTAGCTAATATGGTCTGTAATCTAATTGACATTATTTTTTTAGGTAGTGTTAAATACCTGCCAGCCTTTCCTGCTGGCTAAATAGTCTTAGCCTAGTTTATAGTCTTCTTAGAGTCTACATGTCATGCCCATGTCCTCTCATCCATGAGTTTCCTGTGTCTTTTCCCTTTCCTCTCCCTCGTTCCCTGATCCACAGACTAACACCTATCTACTCTTTCTCCATCAGACTGCGAGTGCAACGGTCACTCAAATCGCTGCAGTTACATTGATTTCATCAACATTGTGACTTGTGTGAGCTGCAAACACAACACTAGAGGGCAGAACTGTCAGCACTGCCGCCTCGGATACTTCCGGAATGCTTCCGCCGAGCTGGACGATGAGAATGTTTGCATAGGTCAGTCAGATATCACTCCACGCCAACCCGTTTCACTGTTCCCCTGACGCACCCACACCACGCTGCACAGAAATTGTCCTTTCTGGCCAAATGATATGTATGGAACTGGAAAGGTCGAGAAATCTTTCCTCATGTGCATACGGTCCAACATTTGGTCTGCCACCACCTTGCCATACCTGTGACAATTTCTGACCTACTGAAGTCCAACAGAAGTATGGATTTAAATATACTAATATCATGCTTCATTCATCTTACAGCCTTTACTATAGAATCGCAAGAAATCTTCTCCCAGACTCCCGTCTTCATTTTACTTAAGATCTAGGAAACTAAAGAACTTGCATTTTCAACTGTCCAGCTTAAAGCTTTATCAATATCTGTATAATTATGCTATATGAGAGTAGTATAAAGGAAATGTGATTTGAAAACAAGCAATTTTGTATTCTTTTGTGCATGATCTTAAAGCCAACATGAAATGCCACATGCAACCCATTTTACTAAAAGTAATACCGGATATTTAACAAAAAAAAACGAAACAATGTGCAGTAGGATGGGATTGGATTTTATCTGTGAGGAATTGATTGCATTTTTTTTTATTGAATTTTTGAATGAAAGTGGACAGTACAGGGTAAAACTGAAAAGAGAGGTTTGTGATGACAAGGAAATACATGTCACACTCACAGGCGTTTGGACATTTTGATAAAGACAAAATATTTTCTTTGGAATAAAATGAATCATTCACTATATGACAAGGAATGTGTATTAAAAAAGTAAATAGAATGGATAAAATAAATAAATTGGGTGGCGGGGGGAATTCAATTAGAAATCCTAAGATAATTTATTTATTTATTTATTTTTTTTATGAAAACTGCTCCAAGAGCTGCTCAAGCAATCTGTCACAACACTTTGATAATGATACAGTGACCTCTACTGGAAAAATACACACACATAAATCACTGCGCTATGACTGACAGCTGCCCAGATGAAAAAAATTATACCCTTGTGAATGCATAGAGCAAAACCTCACCGATGAACAACCACTGATCACATAAAACTGACAACTGCAAACACATGTGAATATATGCCTATTGCCTTCAGGCTATGCTATATTTCCTTTAGGCAAAATGTTGTAACTTTTGAAACACTGTACACAATTTTTAAATATTATTTTATATTAAACATTCATTTTCCTGCAGGTCCACTAATAATGTTAGTCATTTATGACCGTTTATCACATATTTTTGTGACTCTCAGAATTATACAGGTCATTTTTGCTGCTATGGCTTTAAGACTTTTATGTAAACACTCTTTCCTTTGTGTGGCGCTATTGTGCACTTTTACTTAAAGGAATAGTTTTGTAAAATTTGCAAAACATGTACTAACCCTCAGGCCATCCAGGATGTAGATGAGTTTGTTTCTTCATTGGAACAAATTTGGAGAAATTTAGCATTATATCACTTGCTCACCAATAGATCCTCTGCGGTGAATGGGTGCTGTCAGAATGAGAGTCCAAACAGCTGATATAAACATCACAATAATCCACAAGTAATCCACATGATTCCAGTCCACTAATCATTAAGACATTTTTAACTTCAAAATGTTGCTTCTGGCTAAAATACAAGCCCTCTATCAATATAGAGGAGAAAAAGAAAATGTCATCTTGTCTGGATCAGGAGAGAAATATGTGCAGATCAACCATAGTTTACAAGTGAAAACAGTCCAAAGCAGTTCTAAAGAAATGTGTTGGAGGACGTTGATGTGGGAGGACAACAGGGGTGGATTTTTGTACTGATGGACCATCGGTGAGCAAGTGATGTAATGCTGAATTTCCCCAAATCTGTTCAGATGAAGAAACAAACTCATCTACAACTTGGATGGCCTGAGGGTGAGAACATTTTAAGCAAATTTTAATTTTTTGGGTGAACTATTTTTTTAAGAGCTGCAGGTTTCCTGTTGAATCCAATATGGTTTTACTGCCCCATCAGGAACATAGTTTTAAAAAAATGGTCTCTACCTATCCTTCTGAAGAATATGCAGAGCAGTAATGTTGGTAAGCATGAAACAAGCTATTTATGAGTTTTAAGTTCTGAAAGTTACAGTGTTTTCATAGTTCAATGAAATCTATCACAAAAGAAAGAGAACACAGCCTTCCTTTTCAAGGTTTCAGCAAAAATAATCTACAGTTGGTCTACAATTTTCTATACACAGAGTGTAACTGTAATCAGCTGGGCTCTCTACACGCCCGGTGCAATGACACAGGCTTCTGCCAGTGTAGAGAGGGCACCACGGGCCAGAAGTGTGAGGACTGCCTGCCTGGATATACCTGGAAGCAAGGCTGCGTGCGTAAGTCACACTTCCTTCACAAAAGCATTAAACACAGGCTTAGTCATTCTGTGATGGATGATACCACTCGAAAAACAAATGAAGTGTTGTGAACGAACAACATATGGGTGTCATTTCACTCAAACATATGAGCAACATTGTTACTCACAGAGGTCTTTGCTGTTGTACTACCAACAACAGCCTGCTGGTCGCAGCAGCTGTGCATTATAGACACTTGTGGGTGGGGTGACAGTGGCTAAAGCAGTGAGGTAGGGTAAGAAGGTGTTGCTGGTTCAAACCTGGCAAAGAATTGGCTGTATATTTAAACCCTGTCCGCAAAGGACTAGAAAACAGCCCAAAACCTACATTAGCTTATCACAACCCACCTCTACAGATGAAATTACTGTTTACAAATATACACGTGACTGTGACAGCTCCCAGTTCTTCTCCCAGTTCTTTTTGATTAAGGCTTTATACAAAATGATCTGAAAAGTATGTGTACATGGAGTTGAAATGCCCAGTCTCCAAAAGACTGGTGGAGGTCTGTAGATTTCTATCATTATTGGGGGATCAGGACAAGCCTAGGATTTTACACAAATTATGATCATTCACAGATCATTACCATCATTATCATCTCTGCTGTAATTAGACCTGGTTTTCATGCAAGCGTCGCATAAACTTATATAAAAAGTTTAAACTGGTTTTTAAATTCCAATTCAGCTTTCTGTGAGGTTTGGTTTCATTCATTCATTTCTAATAATAAACACATTATTATTAAATATTTAATGGTGGCATTTTAAACACTTATTATTAATATATATTATTTATTTTCTGATATATGATTCAGATTTTCTGTTATTATGATTTTTTTAATGAAACTGATACTTTTATTCAGCAAGTATGCGTTAAATTGATGTAAATGTTTTTTATATTGCTACAAAAAATAAATAAATAAATGCTGTTCTTTTGAGCTTTCTATACATCAAATAATCATGAAAAAGAAATGTATCATGTTTCAACAAAAAATATTAAGCAGCAGAACTGTTTTCAAAATTGATTTTAATCATTTTTATGTACTTTTATTATGTTATTTACTATTTTTGACCAAATAAATGCTTGGTGAGCATAAAATACTTTTTTTAAAGTTTTAAAAAAACATTTTTTAAATTTTACCGAAACATTTGAAAGGTAGCGTACATACACTAGTTTTCTGGCCCACACAGACAGACACAGACACAGACACAGACACACACACACACACACACACACACACACAGAGAACCTGTGGCCTCTTAGTCACTGAAAATGAATCCCTTCCAGTTAACTGTCAATGTGAACACCTTAAGTCACTATGAGTAAAATATATCTACTAAATGACTACCTACATTTAGGATGAAAAATGTAACTTTAAGACAATAGAACAATCCCTTAAAACATGATCTATCTTTATGTTTAGAGACATGTAAGATTAGATATGTAACGTCATTAATGAGAATCTCCTCTCTGTCTTTCTTCAGCAAACGTGTGCGACGACGAGTTCTTCCTGTGTCAGAACGGCGGCTCTTGTATCCAGAATCAGAAGTGCGTGTGTCCACCCAGCTTTAGGGGTGTTTTGTGTGAGCAGACACGCTGCCAGGGCGAGAAAGGGTGCGATGGTGCATCGGGCTGCTACCTCAGCACACTGACGCTGCTGCTCTGCCTTCTAGCCAACAGCCTGCTTAAAGCCAGCACCTAGAAACCCATCTTAGTCCTGATATCGATTCTAGTCTACGCAGGCCAAAGGGCTGAACCCTGCGGACAGAGAGAGAGTGGCCTGAACCCGTACGGAGTACGGACCCAGCCTCACGGTGCTGAAATCTTTTTTGGAAATGGCGGCGGCAGCACTGAGGTCAAAACGCCTTCATGAGACGAGCAGTTTATTGCTTGCCTACTAGCAACACTGATCGCCTGAACTTTATACCAAAAACAGAATAAAAAGAACTTAAGTTCAGTTTCAGCTCACTCTACACAAAACTCTAAAGAAAGTGGGGAAATATATAGATGCAGTTTCATTTCCTTTGCATTTCTACTTTCTCTGTAGTTCTGACGCTCACTGAGGTACAAGCACCGCATTTAGCTAGCTTGTTTTAGCGAACAACAAACTGTCGATATCACGGAAGCCTACTTATGCCAAGTTATTCTTCTTCTCTTGAAGACTTGTTTTTACATTTCCTTTCATTGCTGCATTTTTCTTGCATTTTATTGCCATTGAGGTTGTAACAAGTAGAACCAATGGAAAAGATGTTTAATCGCCGTCCCGCTAGTATGAAGAATGAACGTCTCTAGCTTGTGTTTGAGATTACGTTTATGGAATTTAGAAAGAGGTTTTAAATTGTCACACTGAACAAATATATATATATCGGTCTATCTGAAAGGAAATATGAAGTATTGTATATTATATTATTTCAATATTTTTTGTAGAAATTGTTATTTTTGTTGAGTAAATGTTACCATTGTAAAGACATTGCAGCCTTTATTGCAGTGCATATGGTATTCACACCATGGTAAAACTATATTTGATGATACAGCAGATTGCATCTCTAAGATATCTGGAATATTTCTCCATCCATATCATTACATTTAAAACATAAAGCATAAACGGTTCATTACATGCACAGCTTTAGCTCAATGTAACCCGCACATCATATTGTTACTGGCATGTATTCATCAGTGCAGATATGACCATTCAGGACTGCTTATTAACACACTTCTGTAATGATACCAGTGATATAAGTCCCACGAACCCCAAATAAATAAATAATTATGAAGCACAGAAAAAAAAAATGCATCGTTAATCAGTACAATTAGAATGGCCATTCAGATTAACAATTAAAAATACATATTGAAAGTCGGCACATTGTATATCATGCAATCCGGTTATTTTTCAAATAATTGATTTTATTTTCCTTGCGTGAGTCTCAAAGAAATGTCTAAATCTTTAGCGGCTCATGGGCTTTTTGATGTATTTCATATTTACAAATGCTTTACATTCATGATGAGCCAGGGTAAATAAAGTACTATGAATAAATATTATAAATGAATAAAACCTGACAATCAGAAAGCACAAAGAGACATGAGTGAATTGTCTTTCTTTAGACTCTGTCCTTCTATATGCAAATTAAAGTTTTAACAGCATATATTTTTAGTGTCTGATGCAGCATACACCGACATAACAGTCACAGCAGCTAATAAGGGTAATTAATATCATTTTTATTCCTTAGAACGTTTCACAAGGTGAATCAGCCACATATATGTCTACAGACCCAGAATCAAATGTGCTGAGCCGTTTGCATTGCTCTAACCACCTGCACTGAAATAAATAAATAAATCCTTACCACACAACTTGAGTCAGCAGAGCTTATGCCAGGTGGAAACAAAAAAATATAAGGTTCTACCCAAGCACGAGTTAAATACATACTCACAGAAACAGACTGCATGCTATATAACATACAGCATGTTATGTAATTAGCACTGGAAATTCCAGTTGGGGTAATTGCACATGTAGTAGGGTCATTTATGTTATACAACACCATTTAAGCTCCATAACTTTGTAATTTTTATGCCTACTGTATATAGCAGACTTTCAGAAATATGCTGATGGAAATAAAGAGCTAAAGTTAGCAATTGCCCAGTGAGGGATTGACAGTTTGCTTACATTAAGTTGTCAATTTGAAGTTAATTTTGAAATATTTTTAAAGCATAGTTTGTAGTGTTGATATTTCTAGATTATTATCAACCAGCATGGAATGTTTTAAAATGATAATATCTAAAACATCACAAAATGCATCACATCTATTGCTAATACTTAGCAATGTTTGAGCTGTTGTGTTCATACAATAATGTCACTTAATTCCCCACCCTTAATTATTATTATGAACTAAAACTAACTACATAAAAAATGTAAATAAAATAAAGGGTAACTGAAACTTAAAAAAAGCTATTTCAGCTAGTTTCCAAGATTACATTTCTAATTAAGTGTAACTAGACTGACAATGGATGACTGGGGCAGTCATGGCCTAATGATCTAGTGTCGGAATTGTAACCAATGGTCGTGGGTTCGAGTCTCCGTATCGGCAGGGATTGTAGGTGGGGGGAGTGAATGTACAACGCTCGTGTGTGCTCACTACTCACTACTGTGTGTGTGTGCAATTGAATGGGATAAATGCAGAGCACAAATTCCGAGTATGGGATCTCACACTTGGCCACACGTCACGCCACTTTCACTGATACAAGTATATACAAAAATTAGATTAAAAAAAAAAGACAAAACCAACAAAGGTCTAAATCTTTCAAATAAAACAAAACAGAAAATAAAAAGTACAAGCTCTAAATTTTAATAAACTACAATAGTACCTAAAAAAATACTAGAATAACACTGATTACAAAGCAATAACAGGCTTGAAAGCGATTTTGAGGAAAACCCATTTAAATATTTAACGGAATTAATGTAAACTATTTCTGAAAAAATATTTTTTCCATTTTAGAAGTGTAAAGGGGTACATGATGAAACACCAGCTCAAACCTAAGTTTAAAATTACTAAAAATATTTAACTTAATTGTGAAAAAACCAATAGTTAAACTGAATATTCTCCACTATTTAGAAGCGTTTGCGACATGAAAATGTACTTCATAGTAGGAATGACCCTGTAACTTTAATTCTGGGACACTGGACTGTGACTGGAGCATTGATGGAAGGAAGTGACGGTAGTACCGGAAGTGATCCGGAGATGGAGGAAGATTTAATTCTGAAACTGTGTTCTGCCTTTTTAAGAAAAAGCATGATGTCATAAATATGCGACTACATTTCCTGTGCGCTTGCTTTGCCGGTGCGACTGACTCACATGGGTTATGTAAATATACGGTGGGCAAAGTAACAGCACTTTATTCAGATAAATTAATTAACCGTATTTACTAAGCGTGTATGATGCAGTGTTTTCTGCTCGCGGTGGGGTTTATCCGGGCTGTCAGTGACAGCTGGCATAGGCATCGGTGCCACCTTGACAGCAGCCTGCGATCGCTTTAATAAAAACCGGGATACGAGCCACAGCGGTGGACTGCTGGACCGTGTACCAGTCATCCCGATCCCGAGCGTCGACGCAGCGTCAGAGATTACCCCGTACCAGCCAGGAAAGGTCACTGTAAACAGATCCACTGCTGTGATGAAGTACGGCTTCCCTTCCCTTCCCTTCCCTTCCCTTCCCTGTCCAACATCAAGAGCAGAGAGTCTTACGTGACCTCATACGACCCCAGAAACAGGACCGCAGCCTGGGTCATAGAGCAGCTCAACGCCGAGACAGTAACCGGGACTTCGGACAGAAAGTTCTGCGATTTCAAAGAGGACGACTCGGTTCATGTTTACCACAGATCGAGCAATGCGGATTACAAGGGCAGTGGGTTTGACAGGGGTCACCTGGCCGCAGCAGCCAACCACAAATGGAGTCAGAAAGCCATGGATGACACCTTCTACCTGAGCAATGTGTCACGACAGGTGAGTCCTCCTTACAGAGCTGCTCAATCCTCTTCATGGAGATCAAGGAATGAAGGTAAATGAAATTTTAGCCTTAGGTGATATTAATAATCTATTGTTAAAATGCCTCATATAAAAATGTATTTATCTTATTTTTAAATATTTATTTTTCAACGATTATTTTTCATTAGTAATTGAACCTTTAATGGAATTATATAAATGTCTAATCAATTAAGAGAAAAGTATTTTAAACATGTCAAAAAATAAACAATAGATGACATTATTAATAAGTTTAAAATGCTACCTAAAAAGTATTTACTTGTTACTTTTTAGTGTTTATTCAAACTCTGAACTTGAATCGTTTATTAATAATTTTATTTTTAACAATTAAACTTTTACTGAATTTATAGTAAATTCAAATAATAAAATAATATATAAATGATAGATGATGTTAATAATCAATGTTTAAAAGTATTTAAATTATTTTTGATTATTAATTTGTTTAGTATTAATAATTAAACCATTATTGAATTTATATAAGTGTCAGTGTCAATCAAGATTTTTTTATATATCAGAAAATAAATATATATTAATAATCACTGTTTAAAATGCCACCTATAACAATGCATTTAATTTATTTTTAATATTTATTAATAATTGGTTTATTATTATCAATTAATGAATTTATGTCTATAATCAATAAAGAAAAAATATATCAGAAAATTCATAAAATTCACCTATAACAATGAATTTAACTTATTTTTGTCTATTTATTAATAATTTCCTTATTATTAATAATTAAACCTTTACTGAATTTATATACGTCTAATCAATTAAGAAAACAGTATTTTAAATATATAAAAAAATAAATAGGCATAACTTGTTTTGGATTATTGAAATTCCTCTTCATTCTGTGGTATTCAAATTCTTACTTATTAATTGAAATGGAAGTAATTCATTAATTCAGAATTTTGCATAACCCTGGTGTTGGAACTAAATAGTAGGGTAGATTTCCATGAGCACCTTATTTTATACAATCCATAAAACCACCAATCATTTAAAAAGTTTGCTAACTGCTTATTTTTCTGTTTGCATGGGTAATTATGGCCAATAATATTGCGGATATCTTTCCCCACAGAATCCTCATCTAAACCAGAACGCATGGATTAACTTGGAGAAATATTGCTCTCTCCCAGAACGTCTTTGTGTGCACTGGACCACTCTACTTACCCCGGTAAAAGTCTCTCAATATGCTCTCAAATCTGCACCGCCTGTATGTTATGCCATTAAGGGAAACTAAATAACACGTAATTATCTTGGAAGATCACCAGACTATACCATAGCAAGGCTCACTGCTTAAATCAAATGTAAAATCTGGGTTCTGAGACAAAACGACTTGAGAACCACTGTTCAAGGTATTTTAAATTAGCCACATGCCTGAAATCAAGATATTTGAACGTATTTAATTAATTAATAGAACCTAATTTTTCCCTCCATGCACCTACAGACAGGAACCTGATGGGAAAATGTACGTGAAGTATCAGGTTTTGGGAAAGAACCATGTAGCTGTGCCGACTCACTTCTTGAAGGTGGTGATTCTGGAAAAGCCGAGGGGAGACATGGAGCTGCGGTCCTATGTGATGCCCAATATGCCAGTCGATGAGAAGATTCCACTGGAACGCTTCTTGGTTCCCATTGAGAGCATCGAGAGAGCGTCCGGACTGCTGTTCGTACCAAACATCATGAAGAGGACCAGCAATCTGAAAGCCATTACTGCAGGGCCATGAGGAGTTTACAGTGATTACGGGGGAAAGGAAAATACCTCAAAATGATTCATTACATCACTGTCAAACATTTATACTGGGGAAATTGTTTAATTTTCAAGATATGTGGAAAAACTACTGAGAGATATATATCAGTCACTGGCACAAGCTGACAGTCTATGCTGTACTGTTTAATAGGGGAGATTTTGTATCATTACTGTTTTTAAATGTCAGCCAAAATCAGCGATTTTAACCGAGCCAAAACACTGTCTGAAATTAGATTTTAATTTAAACTGAAATTTTATTTGTGCTAGAGGACAAAGACCGTTCATCTTCAGAACACAAATTAAGATATTTTTGATGCATTCTGACAGCTCTCTGACCCTCCCATAGACAGCAAGGGTACTACCACGATCAACGTCCAGAAACGTAGCAAGGAGATCGGTAAAATAATCCATGTGACATCAGGGGTTCAACCGTAATTTTACGAAGCTTCGAGAATACTTTTTGTGCGCAAAAGAAAAAAACTTTATTCAACAATTCGTCTCCTCCGTGTCACCGTAGTGCCATTTTTGAGAATATGCACTGAACGCAAACAGCGTATGTTGTTCTGTGTCAGCCGCACCACATGGATACGTTGTTTTCGTTCAAATCAAAGCACAAACAAAGCAGACAACTTGCAGAAGTGGGCAGCCCTAGACTGAGAGCTGGCATCTGCATTATAAAAAGAAAAAAAAACCTTTAAAGATTATTTACGATTAATTATTGTTGCCAAGTTATCTAGTCGTTGCTTGTTTACAGTGCTTTGTTATCGCGCTGCCAAGATGGCGGCGGTCGGCTCCGCCCACTTTAGGCTGCCCTTCAAAAAATGCTCTTCTGAACCCTGTGAGTGACATCACGGACACTACGTCAATGTTTTTTTTTTTTTTACAGTCTATGGTTGTGACCGAGCGGCAACCTCCCGCTCTCTCTCCTGAAGCCAACAAGGAAGTGACTTAAACTGTAATTCATCAACTGGCCGCTA